TTTTTTTTTTTTTTTTTTAATGCTGTCTCTGTTTTCCCTCATGCTCCCTCTCCGATGGTCTATATTTTTTCCTTTCTCAATCATATTCCTTTTCTCCCTTCCCCCCCCCCACCTCTTCTCCCTCCTACAGAACCCCCACAGAACCCATCCAATGTCGGCGTGGTTGCGGGAGCTGTGATTGGCTCCCTGCTGGCCGTTCTTTTGGTCGCCGCTCTCATCGCTGTGCTTGTCACCCGTAGCCGCAGGCAGCAGCAGGGATACCGTGCTAATGGCGGCAGTGACATGAAGACACGCATATTTGGTGGGGGCAAGAAGGCCAGCAAGAATGGGACGGGAGGAGGCGCAGGAAGCAGTGGCATCGGTGGTGGCAACAACAACGGCCCCATCTACGTATACAATGAAAGCTCATCCCACCAGGGCCTTGGAGAGAAAAACAACCACCATCAGCCGCTCACAATGGGGGGCCGGCCTGAAGTCGTTGCCACCACGCCGACCGCCCAGGACATCCTGCTAAGCAACGAATTAGACGATGCAGAGAGGAGGAAGTTTGATGAGCTGGAGGAGGAGGAGAGGTATGACCACTTTACCGGAGGGGCCCCGATCCTTCAGCTTCGCCCGCCACACGACCAGGACGATATGATTGGAGATTACCTGGATGATGACATGGAGTCCCAGAGGGATGGCTCTGTCATCTCACGGACTGCAGTTTACGTGTAGAGGAGGAGGAGGAGGAGGAGGAGAGGAGGAGGTGAAAAAAAAGGCAGGCTGGAGAATTCCTCCAGAGGATTTTGTGGCTCCAGGGTCTTGTTCCTGTCTGAAAGGGAAAAGAAAAATAATTACCCCTTTTATTTTTGAAAATTGATTTTAAATATAGCCTATTAATCACAGTGCAGCCCCGGAATGGACTGAATGAAAATGAGGGGTGTGGTGGGATATTGTGAAAGGACTATTGCTGTTTTATGGTCTCTAAGAACTGAAAATCAAACGGGAAAAAGAACAACCTGTCTCCCACCACTTCTGCTCATGCTCTTGCTATCACTGGGACCTTGACACTTGGCAAATAGGCAAAAACAGAAACTATGAAGTGTGGGAGTAGGGTAATGGAATCATGATACAAGCTTAGCTATAGAGGAGGCGTCTCACTTTCATATTCAATCTAATTTTCACCAAAACAAGTGGAAAAGGCCGTCAACCAGTAACATGCTGCCTGCAATTCTCAGTCCTCCAGGTAGAATCTTTTTGGATGATGTGTTGCACTGTGACTTTTGGTGGGTATTAAAGTAAGTTGTACTGGTTTGGCAGGAAATCATTTGAATAGAGTATAGACAGTGACCACAAGGTGATTTAGAGAAGCCAACTATATATTTGTTTATTGGTGAGTTCTTCTCTCTGCTCTCTCTACCGTTCTCTCAAACATCAAAAAAAGATTTCTGCAAACTTTGAGCAACACTCTTGAATTAAGCTGAACAAAAAGTGCGTCAAGTCTTTATGTCCTGCAAAAAACAGAAAAGCAGTTGACTTTAACTAAAGTAGCAGCTTCTAAGAGTTTGAACCAAGTTCTTAACAAGGTATTCACATTTAAACTGTTGTACTGTGCCTGGAGGTAAAAGACGGTAAACAAGAGACGAGGGAATGAGGTGGAGCCAATCTGACAGGGTCAAGCAATGGAGAGAGGGATGCAGGAGTCAGGAGGCTAAGAGAGGAGCATGTCTCTTCTTTTCTCTTCCTTCTCCTCGTCATCTCTTCAGAGCACTCCTGACAGGAGGAGCTTGATTGTTAATGAACCGTGAAGTTGCTCGCTTAGCTGGGACCAACAGATTGCCACCACTTATCTTATATGACGTGGCGATTCTTCTCCCCCTCCCACCTTTATTTCTTCATAATCTCACTCTCTCTCTCTCTCTTGCTCCCTCTCTTCATCCCTCTCTTCAGTGTTTATGGGGAGTTTATGATTTATCCTGGGCAGGGAGGAGGTCAGGGCTATGGAGAGCAGGGGAGTATTTTACTACTCCCGATGTGTCAAATGCCCCACTTACTCTGCTCCGGCCTGGCCTGCCCTGACATGCCAGGACTGACTAATCCACCTGGAGTGGCCATGTTCAGTCCACTGCACAGATGCCCCTGCCTCCTCCTGTACTTTATCAAAGGACCAGATGCAACAGAATCCCTGATTGTCTTCTGACGGTCATTTTGTCCTTGTTAACGAGCCACTGAAGGCCCACTCGGGCAAATATTACTCAATGGCTACTGTACACCGCTGTCTGTGAGGCTCAGTGTGTACATTTGCATGCGTCACGGTATCTGCGTAGCCACTGGGCGACTGTGATGGGCAATCACGGAGAGAAGCCCTACTGTATCTCAGCTAATCATTTTTTCTTTTTTCCCGGCCTTCTCATCAACTCACCTTTGACCCACTGGGAATCTGGTGAGTGCGGTCTCGGTGACTGTACCGGCCCCGGTGTAAGGCTAGCTGAGATCTGGGTTGACGTTTGCTGCAGGTCATGAGGTCAAATGCAGGGTGACCCATTGCCGAGGGAAAAAGATGACTGTGCTTGCCTGCGTTTCTTATCGTGGCTGTTTTTAACCTTGAACTACAGATGTGGAAGAACCACTCATACAGAGCCTGTAACTGTAATGGGTGAGACAGTCCTTGTTTGCCATTGTGATGGCTTTTAACCTTCAGAGAGGCGAAGAGAGAGAGAGAGAGAGAGAGAGAGAGAGAGAACAGGAGAGGAAGACACAGGAGGCAGACAACAAAAATAGAGACAGCGTTTAGAGTTTGAGCACATATTTTAAGCCTGTAAGTTCAATAGGATTATCGCCTAATGGCCTTACCTTATACATTAATGCAACTCCTGTCAACCGTGGGTACAGTAAATTTACTGAACACAGCTGATTTGCCACAACCACTTAAATATAAATGTACTACTTATTTTTGCATTTGTGTGTGTGTGTCACTGCTACAAAGAGAAATATAAGTGTAATATTTGGTTTTGGGGAGTAAAAAAGAAATATTGACAACGGCCAAAACTGATGTACGTACATTTTGGTGTGAGGTGTCTGTGTACTATATACATCTTTATTTTTCTCGTGAAAGTGTGGATATTTATGAAAATGTAAATATCAGATTGATGGAGCCACTTGTTGCGGAGGGCACTCTGGGCTGGCTGAGCCTGAAGTTCAAATGCCCTGGGCGGAGGAGGGGAGTGGGGGCATTCAGAATGTAATTTTTATTGTAATGGATACCTCAGTTGTTTGGGTGTCACAACATACTAAACTGACTGAGCTTAGTTTCAAGCCTAAGAGTTGATTTGACTCGGAATGGGGGCGGGCGGGGGATTTTATATGCTTGTATAATTATTTTTGTTCCAGTTAGCATTGCCTGCATTTCCACATAATAAGTCCACACTATTTCTGCGTGGACAATTGGCTTCTCCGTCTCCTTGACTGACATGTCTGCACAATGCAAAGACGCACACAATGCTCATAATTTATCAGATAGACCGTAACCAGGCAAGCAATGGGTTTGCAACTGCCTCAGCTCTCTGTGCGTGTACAAGTTGTGTGTCGGTGTGTATTTTTTTCGTGACGCTTGCAAGGCTTTAGGACATCTCTCTCTGTCTTTGGGGCTCGTAACCTGACTGGCCACCCTTTTGTCACCATGGAAAAACTGGCAATTCCGAAGATATTATTGTGCATTTCGAAGACACACTCGCTCGCACGCATTGTACATATACATGCGCAGAATGCAGAGAAACACTCGCCCACACACAAACACCTCTCAGTCAGTCTCATTATGCTCTCTCCCACAGCCAGACTGTGCAGAAGGCACCTCATACCTGACAACTCTGCCATCTCCTGACATAAGCCCACACAAACGCGCTGGCATAGCTGCACACGAAAACACACACACAGAAAAACTTCTTCTTTCTCCCATTTTGTTTGCTCTGCGAGGATGTATAGCATGTCCTGTTAGTGTGGAGGGAGCCGCGGCGTGACGTGTCCCCCCCCCCTCTGCTTCATCGCTTTCAATGAGCGACCACGTAGAACAGAGGCTACTACACGTTCAGGTACACATACTTTTCACCCGGTGTCAGACATGCAGGCTTTTTTAGTAAAGTCTTTGTCCAGTGCAGTTTTGTTCTGCGCCCGGAAATATAGCTTTCATAAAAAGGCCACTTTGCTGACCTCCTCACCCTCCCACATCCCTTTGAATTCTCCCTACCAGTCGCCAAAATGTTGTTTTCAACTTCCCTTACTTCAGCCACCTCTGCCAGCGCGACCGCCTCCACAGACACACATGAACACGCCATTGCCACCCACCTCAGCACCCAAGTAAGGCTTGTCAGACAAAATGCTTTTAGAGAAACCTGCGAACCTGGCCCGGGTCTTGCACAAGGTTACGCAGTCAAAATATCCAGTATTTTTTCTTTTTCACGAAAGCCACATGCTGTTAGTATTTCTTTGGCTCCAAACGTCTGATGACTAATCAAAGCCTTAACATCTCCCATCTCACTCGCATAAAAGAAAAAAAAAAAAATAGAGAAAATCTTCCTGTGTACATAGTATAAATATATAAATATGTAGCAGAGAAAAATAATTACTAATTTATGGTGTCACATTTGTGTATTACTCAGTGACAGCAAGCATGAAGGATTTATTTTTTTTTCCTATTATGGTTTCTCCACTTTTCTGTTATTTTGCAGTGCTTTATAATTTATGTTTTCTGAGTGCTTTATTCTTGACTGTTGCGCTGTGATTGCTGCCAAAAACTGGCAAATGTGCTTCTTCTATACAAATGAACTGTATACACACAACAAAACAGTCTTATCCCAAAATGTCCTTTTTATTATTGACTGCTCTGTGTAAAAGTTGTTTCTTTATTTCTGTTTTGTATTTTTTAATTTTAAAATTATTTTTGGTCTTTAAAAAGAAAAAAGAAAAAAAAAAAAAACGAATTAGAATTGTTGTCACCATTTTGTCATGTCTTTCTACATTTTTTTTTTTCGTATTCGGTTGCTATTAAAGGTTTCTTGATTTTTGAAATGTCCCAGTGTTGCTGCTCTTGGTGTGTGTTTCTCCTTTCCTTCCCTCTGTCTCTTTAACACTCGAGGTTTACTAGATGACCGGGTAGCCAGATTGAACAGAAACACCAGTCATTGATTCTTACTGATTAGATTTATAGATTAATTGATCAGGATATGAAGCGGGCTCAGTCTCTTGCCACCCATCCTTCAGATTCCAAACACACCTCTGTCTTTTTCCTTTTACTCTCATTTCCTGCCCTGGCCGTTGATCTAGTTTCGCTTGTGATAAATCTATGTGTGTGTCAACAACGGTGTGATAATGGTCTAAAGGGAAACCGAGCACAGGAGTAGGAGAAGCCATTTTGTGGAGTTGCAGTTGTCCTGTACTCAAGCTCCACCTCCTCCCAGTGTCTCTGTTTTGTGTGTGTGTGTCCTTGTTGGCTGAAGCAAACCAGCTGCATGATAACAGGTATGTAGTAGATGTTCTAGTTGTTTAAAGAGTTCATCAGCTTTTTCCCCTCAGCATGTGGATAATGAGAGGTAATGATACAAGTGCTTTTATTTCAAGATGCGTCAACATTAATATATTCAGTGGGGCCCAAACATGCTAAAACCATAAAGTCACAGAGGAAAGAGGTACAAATGAGGAATGCAGTGCTGTAGCTTCAGTGGTTTTCCTGGAGGGAGGCAGCTTGTGTTTTCAGTTGAGGAATGTGCAGGCAAAGCTGAAGCGCAGTGAATGGAGTGCCTCTCAAAGGCTGCATTGTTTGAACTCTGACTAAACTAAACTGGTTTGGTCAAATTTTAACACAATGGCAAACAGACGTGTGCGTGTGCAGATGCGTGCGTATGTGTGAGTAAGTAGGTTTCTGTGTGAATGTGCTTCCATGTGAGTGCAGGTATGGGGTCATGCATGCCGATGCACCTGCCTCATCTGGTTTACATACCGAAAAAAAAAAAACCTCTAGTGTCCTCAGAAAACAACATAATCAGGTTCTGCTCTTCACATCCCTATGATGGTGACAGTTGTTTTATGGCGGTTATGTCGGTTATGTCCTCGATGTTCGCCTGCTGCTTTGATGCCTTCATGAGTCTATGTGTCATCTTGGCTCCTTGTCACAGTTCATTATTGTTGCAGGTTTCCTCTATCAATGCACAGCTATTTACTGTGAGTCCAACCCACCATCTGGCCTCTCTAATTGCTTTGGATTTGAGGTTGGCGAGATAGAGAACACTTACACACACACACATACACACTCTTCGGTTTTCAAGCTGAATATAAAAGACTCGGGCGCAGCAGCGAGGCTTTTAAGCCTCAGCGAGGAATAAAAGCCTTTGCCATACTTGCATTTTTATGCTCCTTTGTCATAGAAAAAGGTGTGCACATCATGTGAAGGCCGTGACCCCATAAAGCAGAACCTGGCCTATTTGAGCTTGGGGAAAATAACCTGGATCTGAAGCCAAAGTGACAGCAGCTACACTAAAATATACCACTGTGTTCAACATTAGCTCACAGTGATGAGACATGGTGTGCCTCCCTCAGGCAATTCGGCGAGATGGTAGTGGCCCTGTTTATACCAAGTTGTGTGTGCGCAGCTAGGCATGTATTAGAAGTAGAGTGAACATGTGGGTGTGTTCTTTGGTTATAAAGTGTGCTAAAAAAGTCTGTTCATGTGGGTAACCACCTATTGAGTGCTTTAGTGGATTCGGCAGATTGACTTCCTCAGGATGTTTGTGCGTGTGCTCTGTTTGACACATGCAAGTTTGTGCATGACTGCAGATTTAAATTCCAGCTCAGGCAGTTTTACTTGTAGTGTTGATTAAACATCCGATCATCTGTGTGTGTGTGCGTGTGTGCGTTCATTAGCACACAAACCCACTTGGGTCCCTCTCTGCTGATAACTGCTAACACAATGCTCCTCATTTAACCTCTCACCCTTCGGCTCCAGACCTGACTAATAAATCCCAGAGTGAGTGATGAATGGTCTGGCCTGTTGCATGGATGTGTGAGTGATGGATGTGGTGACCTGGGCCTTCACCAGGATTAATGCAAGTGTCTGCCTCTGACCTCAATTATAAAAGTAGGTTTCTGCAAAATTTTTTATTAGCTTTAAAGTGACTGGGTTTTCTCTTTCCTTTATTTGGTGAATCAAATCTGCAGCTGTGTGTGTCTTATAGTTTGTGGAATGTTTTTGTGGCAAACTGCATATTGAGCTACCTAATTTTTTTTAAAAGTGGGAATGATGTTTTTTTTGTTTTTTAGTAAAAGGGTTCTGTATTCTAGTACACTGTATTTGACTCATAGCTCTTCATCCTCACTGTTCTTCAGTTTAAGGACAATTAACCTAAACATGGATGTAATTGAGTTTTTATGTTGAAATAGTGGAATGTCCCTCTCTGTCATCTGAACTCACTCCAAACATGCCTTCTGTTCACTCACGACCAGACTAAAGGTGGGAAATCCCCGTAAAGACATAAAGGTGGCAGCAGTACTGGCCACTCAGCATGTAACGAGGAGGACGATTAAGCATCTAACATCTATGGGTTTAAATTACTTTTTGAAGTTTGTGTTAACTTTTCAAATTTGCTTTCTTGCCCATGTTCTTAATAACAAGACTTTGGTGAGAGTCTACAGCCACACATGCATGTCTGATAGACTGCTTTGCACTGCTTTAAGATATGCTGGTGTGCTGAGATGCAAAGTAAAGCCGCAGTGATTACTTGATTATTTACTTGATTGACAGAAAATTAGTTTGATAACCGATGAATCCAGAAACAACAATCCTTCCCCGGTTCCAGCCTTGTGAGCATTTGCCTCTTCTCTTTGCTTTATTTAATAGTTCAGTTGATACCTTTGGATTTTAGACTGAACACGGTGACGCTGAAGACCTCAGGTATTATTGCAAGTGTGACTTTTTTGATTACTTTCTGACATTTCATTAACCAGGTGCTTAATCAGTGAAAAGAGAGAATAATCAGAGCAATGATCAGTTTTTAAAATAATTGTTAGTAGCAGCCGTAATAACACGCACAAAATGAGAGTATTAACAACAGTAGACGATGTTTGTGCAGACGTCATGTTTAGTATCTGCCATTCAGACATTTTTCTTCAAGGATCGTATTCTCCATACCATTTAATGCAAGTTTTTCGCTTGTTATTGTTCAAATGTTCAGATTTCACAGCATTCCCCTTAATATTTGATGGAATATTTCAGTCTTGAAATTGTAATCTCCGTAGATAATTTATCATATACAGTCATATACAGTCTACAGTCCTAATCACACGCCCACGCATTGCTTTCACTGCTTATATTTGCTGCTTTCAAACTCCCTTGTTTAATTGATGTGAAATTTGAATCAATATTTTTTGAAAACAGTCTCCTCGGTGAAGTTCTTCATTTCACACTGTCTGAGTGACAAATTCAGGGCTTGTTGACGATTTGGGAGGTGGTGTGTGAGAATAATTCGTTTGCTCGATCATGGTGGATTGTGAATGCTAAATTGGCCTCAAGTGCCTTTCTATAGCTCAGGTCATGGTACCTTTTGATAATATTGTTTGTTTTAGAAAAGGATTGGGATTATAATGTCTGTCTCCTCTTAGTTGTGTCACTTTGGAGTTTGTTTTGGGTCAAGCAGCAACCACTCATCCACTGTTTACATCAGAAACACGCATTACTTTAAAAGCGAAGATGTTAATCAAGTACTGTTTAAAATAATGTTCCTTCTCCAGTAATAGCAGCAGTTTTAACAAAATGCATGAACTCGAAACCTCCTGTAACAGAAGATTGTTATCACCTCGTGCACGGTAAAAGCAGGACGCGGAGGAAGCTGCATGTAAATAATCACAGGAAATTGGAAATTGTATCGTTGCTCGTGCTCAAGCGGTAAGCGATAACATCCGATCCTGTGGCTTCTGGTCTTTTAGTTTTGCCAACATGTGTGTCTACTGCATGCACACACACACACACACACACACAGTAATACACATCCAGGCATACAGACAGGGGGAAGTGTCTGTTCCTGTTCCCCCTGGAGACCTCTGGGTGTTCTCTCTTCCTTTCCCGTGCTGACAGGGCTGGAGGTAAAGGAGTGGTTGCACTGCATTTTTGGCCAGATGAGTCTTCCTCAGAGTATCACATGTACAGCCAACCGCTGCAAGAGGAAAAGAACGAGAGGTGTAGTATGATAGGAGGGCAAAGACGCCACCGTGATGTGAGGAGAGTAAAGAGTGAGATGTGAGGTGTTGCATATTGGCAAACAGCGGATAACGCAAGATTGAGGTAAAAGGATAAAGAGAAGAAAGGAGGACAGGAAGAGAGGAGAGGTCAGAGAAGATGTAGAAAGCAAAATAGAAAAAATCAGAACAGAGAAAGGGAGAAGACGACAGGTTAAGGATGGAGTGGAGATGACTGAGGGAGGGGAGGAGGGTGTTTGGGGCTCAGTTGTTGCAGCTGTGTTGATTTAGCTTCTCACAGATCAGCGTGTGTGTGTGTGTGTGTTCGTGTACCTGCTACATAAGAGAGAGTGAGATGGAAGAAGAAGCTTTGACGTGCGCCACTGACCTCGCACCTGCACAAACAACCACCAGGTGAAAGATGCAGCAAAACATGCACGTGGGTTCGAGTTAAACAAGCCCCACAAGGTCTTCATGCTGCGACTTACCTGGAACAAATTCAGTTGTAGAAAAAAAAAAAACAACAACAAAGAACATTGTGTGAATGCAGTATGACCACCAGGGAGTATAGCTTTGAGCTAAGTGTGCATGAGTATGAGTGTGTGTGTGTGTGTGTGCGTGATAGCACGGGTATGAATAAAAGAGATTTATATCAGGGAAAGAATGGTTTGTTGCTGCTCCTAAGAATAGATTCTGTGACGAAAATGATTTTGATGCTGTATGCAAGCCTGTGTGTTTTGGTAGTGTGTGTGGTTGTGTCTCATTTTTTGTGTATTTGCCCTCGAGTGTTTTGCAGATCAAATGCATTTGCTGTTTAATTCACCGTCTCAACAGGCAGCTCTTGCAAA